CATGACATATCCTCATACCATTCACAAAAACCAATTCTATTTGGATTGCAAATGTAAATGCAAAAAGCAAATAATAAAACTTCTAGAAAGTAATATAGAATACTTTTTTGACGTTAGGTAGGCAAAGATTTCTTATGTGGGATGAAAAGATTGAGATAATGGACTGCACTGGAAAAAGGAACTTCTATTTATAAAATGACATCACTCAAGAAAGTGAAAAGGCAAGCCATAGAATGGAGGAAGATGTCTGCCATACATACAATGGACAAAAGATTTTTATCTAGATTATATAAAGAACTCATACAAATCCACAATACAGACAGTCAAATAGATGTGGGCAAAAATAATGGAAAAGACACTTTAGAAAATAAGATATTCAAACAGTCAAAAAAAGCCCAAATACCTAAAAGATGCTCAACTTTATTATTATAATAGTCATCAGGGAATTCATCATTAAAATCACATGATATAGCATGAAACACCCACATGAATGACAAAAGTTAAAAAGACAGAAAATAGCAAAGTGAGATTGTGGGGCCATAACAGTTCTCACATACTGTTGATGGAAGTGAATATTTATACAATTCACTTTAGAAAACCATTTGGTATTCTCTACTAAACCTGAACATAAACATATTATATGAACCAACAATAACACTAGTAGAAATATACCTAATGGAAATGCATGTACATGTGTGCTGAAAGACATGAATAGGAATGTTCAAAGCAGATTCTCCACAACAGCCAAAGACTGGAAATAATCAAATGTGCGTCAACAGCAGAGGATCAACTATAACTGATTCATACAATGGAATACTACACAGGAATGACGTGAATGAACTAGTACTATAGGCAACAACTTGGCTAAACCTCCAAAACATATTTAAAAGTAAAAGAAGTCAGAAACAAATAAAAAAATGCATACCTATAAAATACGATTTATATGGAGATTTAAAATAGCTAAAACTCATCTATGAAATTAGAAGACAGGATAGTAGTTACCTTTGTGTAAAATAGAGAGGCTAGTGATTGGGAGGTGGGGGGTGGACAGGAATTTCTGGCATGCTCTCAATGTTGTATTTCTTGATCTGGATAGCAGACAGTGTGTTCATTTTGTGATAATTTATCATGCATTTTTCTATATGTAAATTATACATTTTATAAACATTTATTAAAAAGTAAAAAATTCAATACTTAAGTGCTTCATTTAAAGACACACTAAGTAAAAACAAAACCAATCTGTGTGCAACTTAAAAGAAATATCTAAATATAGAATTGACTGAAAAAGTATGAGAAATGGTATACCATATAAACACTAATCAGTTTGGTATATTAATATCTGACAAAGTATATTTCAAGGCAAAACAGCATTTTTAGAGATCCATCACTTCATATTCAAAAAGGTTTTGGTCCAGAAAACAAAGCAATTGTAAATTTGCATCCACCTAATAAAAATATAGCAAAACTTGAAAGAAGTAGATGGAGAAATAGGCAAATCCACAATCACATAGTGGAGGGCTGAAAACACACTTGTCAGTAACGAGGATGTAGATGACATGAACAACATGATTAACAAACTGGAACTAATTGACATATACAGACCCTGGCATCCAAAATCAGCCAAATGTACATTCATTACAAGGACACACAGAATATTTATAACAATTGACCAGATATGCTGGCCAGTAGAGCAAGCCTCAATGATTTTAAATACAGATTATTTTCCTGACAAGAGTGAAATTGTCAGACGTCCAAAAAATTGGAGAAAATGTCTATATATTTAGAAACTTAGAAGTATATTTCTAAATAACTCACAGACATATCAGAAATCACAATATAAATCAGTTAATATTTTTCTATAAGTTAAAATATAAAAATCAAAACTTCTGGTATATAGCTAAAACCACAATTAGAAATACTGCCTTAAGCGAATGTATTAGGAAAGAAGAATGTCTAAAAATCAAAGAGCTTAGCATCCATGTCATAAAACTAGAAAAAACAAAAGAATTAAAATCAAAACAAAACAAAAAATAAACCAAAAGGAAGTAGAAGGAAAAAGTGAATAAAGATGAAGTGGAAATTATTGAAATGATATAAAAACACAACAGAGAATCAACAAATTCAAAAGCCGTTTTTGTTTTTTTAAGACCACTGAACTTGATAAGCCCCTGTGAGAGTGATCAAGGAAAAGAGAGAGAGAAGGCACAGATAAGGAATGCCAGGAATGAAAAAGAGGACATCATTACAGATCTAACAATCTTTCAAAAAATAGATAATATTAAGAAAAAGTTTATACAAATAATTTTGAAATTTTTTATTGTGATGAAATTCCAAGAAAAAACATAACTTACAAAATCTGACAAAAGAAATAAAAAATGTGGATAGTCCTATAACAGTCTATGCATAAAAATCAATTCCAGATGGATGAAAGGCAAGACGATAAAGCTTCTAGAAGATAATATTAAGAAATATTGGCCAGGGCCGGCCCTGTGGCTTGGTGGTTAAGTGCGCGCGCTGCAATGCTGGTGGCCCGGGTTCGGATCCCGGGTGCGCATCGAGGCACCACTTCTCCGTCCATCCTGAGGCCGAGTCCCACATACAGCGGCTAGAAGGATGTGCAGCTATGACATACAACTATCTACTGGGGCTTTGGGGGGAAAAAATTAAAAAAAAAAAAAAATTTTAAAAAAAAAAAAAAAAAAAGAAATATTGGCCAGACTCCGGACCAAGATAGTGACATAGGAGGCTCCTGAATTTTCTTCCTTCCATGGATGCTCTAAATGGACAGCTATACAAGGAGCAATTTCCTCTACGAGAAATCCAGAAACTAGCTGAGTGACACCATCACCTCAGGAAACTAATAGCCACATCAAAATGGTTAGGAAAGGCTGAGACACATTCTTCACATAAACCACACCCCCAGCACAGCGCCATACAGTTGGGAGGAAGCCTCCATCTCCCTGCTTCTCCCTAAAGAGTGAAGGGTTTGGATCACACATAAAGCATCTCATCTAAGGGACAGGCCCCAAAACACTAGCTCTGAAAGCCAAGAGGGCTTGCATTCAAGAGTCCCACAGGGCTATAGCAAACGAAGTAGTTTTCAACAGGCACATGAGCACTCGCCACGGCTATCCCCCCAGGGTTCAGTGCAGAGGGAGCAGACAAAAGCACCCATCTTTCAGTCTTTCCCTGGAAGGGATTTGACAGCATACTTTACAAGCTGTTGCCTGAGGGTCCATCTTCTAAATAGCACCCATCTTATTTATACAATGTTACAAACCAACATTACCGCAATAAAAAAATAAATTAATTAATTAAAAGATGAAAAAAATAAATAAGTAAATAGCACCCATCTAGATGCTGGCTGAGATCCTCTCCAGAGTCCCCGGGGCAGCCAGTGGGCACTTCCCCTGGCTTCTCCCTCCAGCTCATTCAAACAATAAAACTAAGTTGCCAATATCTTGCTGGAGGATGAAACAGAGATATGTGATTTACCAATAGAGAGTTCAAAATAACAGTCACAAAGATGCTTACCAAGGTCAGGAGAGCAATGCATGAAGTGAGAATTTCAACATAGAGAGAGAAAATATTAAAAATTACCAAACAGAAATCATACAGCTGAAGAATTAGTTGTATTTCATTAGAGCATCAATAAATATAAAATGAAATTTTAAAAGATATTCTTAAAATATCATAAAAAATCAAGTTCCTAGGAATAAACCTAATGAAAAATATTCAAGACACAGAAAACTATAAATATTGAGAGAAATTAAAGGAAATTTAAATATCATGTCCTTGGATTGGAAAACATAATACTTTGAATGAGATAGGCAGGAAGCTAGACACAAGCTGGGAGCGAGGGCACTCCACCAGGTGCAGCATCCTAATTACCATGCAGCGGCTCTTTGGACGTGCAGCACCACACTCCGCCCCGCCCCTGACCAAGAGTAGGCCCAAGCCTCGTTATACCCTCATTTGCATTGTGGTTTTGACCTCCGCTGTGGAGGATGACTTCCATGACAGTTCCGGAGATGCCTATATAAAGAAAAAATCTCCCCCTCCTGACATGCGGGTGGAGACAATGCCCCCATTGGTCCACCTTCCAAGACCCTCATCTGCCCCAGGGGATCCCATTTTCCAAAGCCATGGACCACCACAACTTGGGAGCAGTTGTTCCCCTCAAGTCTGCCCGCCCCTCCCCTGGGGGGGGCACTTTCACTTTGCTAATAAATTCTCCTCTGTTAAAACTTCTGCTGTGTTTCTGCTCTCAAATTCCTTAGTGTCTGTGGACCTCACCGCACCGATCTGACCGGTGCCGGTGACATTAAAGATGTCAATTCTCTTGAAATTGATCTCTAGATTAGTGCCATTCCAATAAAAAATCCCAGTAAGAATTTTTTTTGGAACAAAACAAGCTCATTTTAAAATTTATATAGTAGTACTGACTTAAAAGTACTGTAGTACTGGCTTAAAAATAAGACGATGAGGAACTGCACAAATATATGCAAATGGATATACAAACCAAACTATAATATCAAATTTCAAGATAATGACAGTATTTGGGGAGGAGAGAGAGAATATTGCTTGGGAGTGGGTATAATGAGGGCTTCTGTGAGATATCCAATGTTCTATTTCTTGATCGATGTAGTGGTTTCATAGGTGTTTTGCTTTGTAATAATTCATTTAGCTGTATATTATTTTGTGGTCTTTCTGATTGTATGTTTTACTTCAATTTTAAAAATTATACAAAAGTATAATATGACAAGCACGATTTATTTCTTAAATGGGAAGATAGTATATGATAGAATCTATCAACATAATCCTTATAAATTAAAGGAGAAAAAAAATCATATGATTGTATCAATAGGTGCTAGAAAAGGCTTTACCTAAAATTCATAATTTCATTTCATAAAACAAAATTCATAATTGCAATAAATGTTAGTTGAAAGAATGAATTAATAGATAGCATGATTTACTCAATAGCTGTTGCTGATGTTTACCTGATTCACAGAGGTAGCTTGGTCTCCTGTTTGCTCTTTCATTCCAATCAGCATTTATCTCCTTCTATATAATCCAAACAATAAAACAAACATTCTGAAAGGACTTTTTTTCCCAGGATTTGAACACCGAGTATTATTTATATATTTAAAATACAGAAATTTGAGATTTTGAGAACTTCTCTTAGATGTCAATTTTAAGAAATGCGCACATTTTGTGATGTTTATATTACATCTATTATTTACAGAATTCAAAAATTCATATTTGTATCAGAGGAGCTCCACAAGATCACCCACACATTTGGTAATTTGCTAAGACTCATGGGACTCAGAATATAGTTGTATTCACATTCAAGATTTACTACAGTAAAAGGATACATACACTATAGGATAAGTAAGGGGAAAAGATACAGGCTGAATCTGGAAAAATCCATGCACAGTCTTCCTTATGCTCTCTCCGTCGTGTGAGAGGACACACTTGAGCATGCCCTTTTCTCCAGCAAAAAAGAAATGCAGTAACATGTGTGCAATGTTTCTGCCCAGGGAAATCCATTAGAAACTCAGCACTCAAGGTTTCTATTGAAGGCTGGTCATGAAGACACCCTCTGCCTTACTGCATACCAAAATTCTAGCCTCCCAAAAGGAAATCAGATGTTCGGCAAAAATCACATTGTTTGCAAAGTCTAGGTACAGTGCACCACCCATTCAGTTAGGAAAATTTCCGTATCAGTTAGGGAATGTTAGAAAGGCCAAGTTCTCAAACACTAGCCAAAGGCCAACTTTGCGAGCAGGCCCTTCTAAAGACAGCAGTCTCAAGCCTGTTATGTTAACTCTTTTCTGCACAACAGTATTCACTAGTATCCTAAAATTAACTATCTGTGGAGTGCACTAATTAGTAAGGAAGTTAATCAACTCATTGGGACAGAAGAATAGGCGTATTTTTTTAACAAAGCTAACAGTAGGAAAAAAGTTTAAGTAGAGCTGAATGCAGAGAACAGGTTCTCTGAATACACAAGAAACTGCTCTCTAGGCCTGTCCAAGAACTCAACCTGCTCAGGCAGGCAAATCCAGTGCAACAGACTTCTTTTTTTCCCAGGTCAGAGAGCTGGAACAGGCCATCAGAAAATACATTTTCTGACAGTGGCAGGCTGTGTACAACATGTTGGAAACAGGATATAATACTTATCAGAATAAAATGCTCAGGCTATTTCTTATGATAAATTAGATATATGTGGACATTTGATACTCACTTGAGATCAATATGGATGGCAAGTTTAATAACACATACATTACTCAAAAAATGTCAATAATAAAATTTAGACACTGTTTTAAAAGGGGTTTTTTGTTTTTTAGTAAAATACAAAAGTCTTTGAAATCTGCTGGGCAATATGAGGACTTTAAATGTCAGAGTTCTTAAGAAATTTCTTTTTCTGACTGTTAGCATACTTAATGTGGATATTGACAAAATAGAACACTGAACTGTAACATGTTTATAATAACTGTACTACAGAGAAACATATTATGGTAAACATATTACATTTTAGGAGTTATGCATAATGTAGTCTGTCAATTATTATGCATTAGAGAACATGAAAAATGATGCCACTTTATACGCTAATCAAGTAGAATTCATTTGGAAAGAATTTAGTAAATTTCCAGTTTACTGAAATCTCTTTCAAACTATGTTAACTCTTTAGCACAGCTGAACCAGTTAACATTGTGCTACTAATGGCATGAAAAATGTAGTTATGACTTCTGTGATAACAAGCTGGCAACCCACAGAGAAAAAAATCTATGTTATCTCCAGAAGCCATACCCTGAATCTTTGCTGGTAACTTTCCAACAGTAGGTAACTGATCACTGGTCAAAAGAGAATGGGGCAAGATAGTATGGCTGTCTCTGAACAATTCATCAGTACTAGTCAAAGCCCAGTCAAAGAAGCCCAAGTTGAGACTCCCTCTGAAGGCTGCAGGTATGTACTATGAACTACCATATTGTAGCCTATATTTAGGAAAACTATCCTAGGGCTATTAAAATTTAATTACAGTATGATTAATTTCAGTGAGTAAAGCTATTCTGTATGGTAACTTTATGAATGAGATTTTTTTATATCGATTGTGATCATAAGATTGTACTTTATTCTGTTTGCATTTGGGGCAAAAAAAAATATTATATACCTCATCTTTGGGAGGATCCAAATAAGACTGCGAAGGTCTAGGAAAATCTCTTGTGGGTGAAGTTTGAGCTGAAATAATTGAATCTCGAGCTGAGATGTACATAGCTCCTAAAGAAGGAAGAGATACTTTTAAATGTGAGAAGATAATATTGCCGGAACAAGGCAATAGAATTGTTAACAAATAGAATTGATCCAATGTTCCTCTGCTGAGCTGCCACAATCACTGGATTACCACAATCAGGGATTTTTTTGAGTTAAGGAAGTATCTCCAAGAATAACACGACCTTTTTTGATGTTCACTGCCTACAAATTTCCAGTGGTTCACCACTGCTCTCAGGGACAAGTCTGTAACCTTTAACCTCTGATCCTAATTTATTTAATATTATGCCAGATTAGTCCCTATAACTAACCAAAGCCCACTGCCAGAATTAACTGTTTGCATTTCATTCAGTCCACGATGTAAAACCCTTATGACTTGAATAGGCGAATAACCAAAGCTGTGTTTTAGGAAGATTGCTTTCACACAAAATGTATGGTGGGTTAAAAAGAGGAAGAGGAGATTGGAGGAAGGTTACTGAAATAGTCAAGGATGGAGAAAAACAAGGGCAGGAGCTGTAGGGATGGAAAAGAAGAGAGGGCAAGAGACATTAAGGGGTAGATTAGACAGAAAGTGGCAACTTTGGGATGCAAAGTACAAGAGGAAGAGTCAGGTTTTACCCCTGGGTGAAAACAGAAGGATCAGGAAGAGATGAATTTGATTTTGTATTGAATTTGAGGTGGTCATTGGCCACTGGATGGAGATGTCTAGTATTTTCTGTGTGTATATGTAGGATATGCATGGGAGTATTTTTAGTGACTTTCAGAAATCTACCAAGGCACAGAAAAACTTAGCTAATATATATTGCACTCAAGGTAAGATGGGAAGTAGAATGTACTGTCTGCGGGAAACTGATGGCGGTGGAGTATGGGGACCTTCCTGGAGACAGTCCTCTGTACTGTAACCTACTGAACCACAGTATGCCAGTAACGTATTCTACCTACGATTATAAAAAGCCACAGCAGGGACCCTAACTTTTCCTCACTTTGCAGATTTCAAAAGCCATACTCATCAGGCAATCACTCAAATACAGGGGCTAATTATAATATCTGTATTCACAAACAATTTTATACCATGCTTTATTTTCCAAAATAACCATGATTTTTATAATCAGGTAAAACAAATAACTTGAAAAACTATATGATGAAACCATAATTATGTACTTAACAAATAACAGAAGAATTATAAATATTTTTCGTTCTCTTACCTCTATCATCAAGAAGACTTGATTTTTTAGTTATCACTTCATCTTTCTTTATGGTACAACATTAAAGAGAAAACCACTCATTAGTAACTGTACTTCTGAAAGAGATTTTGCCTTCTATCAATCAACCAAATTAATACAGATTTTTTTCCCCTTTATCCCTTAACTCTCTCATGAAAATTGTCTCAGGGAGAATACATATTACCAATCTCCTAAGATACCTTCCACAGAGGTCTCAAATTTAACTAACTCAAAATTGAGTTCAATATGTAGCAATGGACAAACTTGCTCCTCTTCTAGTATTCCATATTTTGTTTAAAGACATGGTGACCCATTCAATGGTTGGTTTTAAAAAGTTTAAAGTCATTCAATGTCAAATTTCAGGAAAATATAATCCAACCCATTCCAATCCAATCTAATGTTTAATGAACACATTGCTTAGACTCAAAATTTATCATTCCAGACTCTCATTTTATTGTAATGGTATTTTTCTGTGTCTGTTTGCCTCGACAATGACTCCTCAAAGGGAGAGATTATGTGTCATTCATCTTTGTATCCTATGTGACCGAACTTCCTCATTTTCCCTTCCTTCTGGCTTAGCACAAGGCTTGGCCACCAGTAGATGCTCAATAAATATTAGCTATTATTATCATTATAATTGCTAAATGTTTGCTTGGATTAGCTTCTGCTAAATTACATAGTAAGTTTAGCACAAATACACCTCAACACTTTCAGAGAACAGAATCAAGTCTCCTGAATAGATCCTGATATCCCTAACCAATCAGTAACATGCTAGTGAAGGAGACAGTTCATAGAAGTGAAAGTTAACCAGATAAATTAATAATCACCATACAACACTTTGACATAATTTTATACCTTTTGTTTAGTAGCACTATGTTGTATGTCTGGCTGACAAACAACCGCAGCTGCTGAGTTTTTGACAACATTCTTTGAACTACTTAGAGATCGATGAATGGCATTTGCTGCAGGTCCTAAAAGTGAATGAAAGAGAAAAACCACATTTTTTTTGACAAGTTATTAAAATATAAAAGAAGTAAAATACACTATACTTATTTAAGTAGAATGGTTTTATCAATTTTAAAATATATCTACAACTGTGAAACCATCACTGCAACCAAAATAACATTCGCAATACTCCTAAAAGTTTTCTCATCTACCTTTGCAATCCATCCATCCCTCTCCTCCCATCCCCTGTCAACACTGCTCTGTATCTCTCACACAAGATTAGTTTGAATTTCCTAGAATTTTATATAAATGGAATCATGTAGTACATACTCTTTATTTTTCCTGGCTGCTTTCACACAACATAATGTTGTCACATATTTTAATAATTTGTTCCTTTTTATTTCTGAGAAGTATTCCATTGTATGGATATGTCACAATGTTTTTATCCACTCACCTGTTGTTTGGCTCATTTCCAGTTTTGGCCTCTTACAAATAAACCTTTATAAACTTTCATGCACAAGTCTTTGTATGGACGTATTTTTTCCTTTATATTGGGTAAGTACCTAGTAGTGGAATGACGAGGTCATAGGGTAGGTATATGTTTAACTTTTAAGAAATGCCAAACTGTTTTCCAAAGTGATTGTACCATTTTACATACCATTCAGCACTGCACCAGAGTTTCAATTCTTCCACATCCCTGTCACCACTTAGTAAGCAGAAGAAAGTAAATAGTAAAGATCAAAGTGAAAATCAAATAGATGGAAAAAAAAGAGAGAAAATAATGAAACTAACAGCTGACTCTTTGAGAAGTTCAATAAAAGTGATAAGCCAGATTGATCAGGAATAAGAGAAGACACAAATTTATAGCATCAGGAAAATTAGAGATAATAGCACAACACAGTCTACAGATAATACTAAAAATAATAATAAAGGAATATTATGAAAAATCTGTTGGAATAAATTTAAAAACTTATATGCAAGGGACAAACTCCTTGAAAAACACAAACTACCAAACCTCATTCATGAATAAACAGATAATATGAAGAATCTGATATCTATTTAAAAAATTGAATATGTAGTTGAAAACATTTTCACAAAGAAAACTTTAGTCTCAAATGACTTCACTTCTGAATTATACCAAATATCTAAGGAAGAAATTACACTAATTCTATACAAACTCTTCCAGAAAATCGAAGAGGAGTGAACTCCTCTCTTAACTCATACTTTGAGACCAGTATCACTCTGATACCAAACTCATTACAAGACGTTACAAGAAAAGAAAACCTCAGTTAATATCCCCCATGAACAAAGATGCAAAAATTATAAATAAAATAAATTGAATCTAACAATATATAATAAAGATAATGCATAATAATTATTTGAGATTTATCCCAAGGATGCAGGGTTGGTTGAACATTCAAAAATAAGTCAAAATAATTCACCACAGTAAGAGAAAAAAGGAGAAAATTTAGATGATTACCTCAAAGATGCAGGGGAAAATATACTAAAAATTCAACATCTATTCATGATAAAACTTCTTAGTGAACCAGGAATATGAGGGTATGTCCTTCCTCCGATAAAAGCTATCTTCAAATTTCTAGAGCTAATATTCTAATTTATATTGATCACTTTCCTTTAAGTTTTGGAACAAGATTAGGATGTACACAGTCACCATTTTGTTCAACACTGTCCTGGAGGTCCTAGCCAGCAAGAAAAAGAAATTAAAGGTGAACCCAAATAAAATCCCAGCACACTATGTTGTAGAAATTGGAAAGCTAATTCTAAAATTTCTGTGGAAACGCAAAGGCCCTGGAATAACCAAATCAACCCAGAAAAACAACAAATGTTGAAGAACTCAAACTTCAAAATTTTAAGACTTATTATAAAGCTACAGTAATTAAGAGAATACAGTATTCATATAGAGACAAACAAATAGATCAGTAAAACAGAAGAGAATGTCTAGAAATAGGTCCCCATATATATGACAACTTAATCTTTTCAAAGATGCCAATGAAACTCAATGGTGTTAAAGCAAGTGAAATGTGTACAAGATAAGCTTGGTTAATCCTGTCTTCCCAGATAGCAAGGAAACTATAAAAAATTACTAGGGTTATGTCACAAAGGACTCAAGAGTTATCTTGAAGGGGCTCCCACTGGTCAGAGCTGTCACAATCTCAGCATTAATAAACACAGTAACAGCAATGTATTGAAGCACATCGAATTTATTTAAATCTGTGAATTCATAACGACACACAAAAAAACTAATTGCTCACCCTTGGAGGATGCTATTTAACAATTCATTACTTTGAAAACTGATAAATGGTGGTAAAATATTAAACATGAGTTTGCTTTTCCCAAGTATCCTGTACCACAATGTAACTAAATAGTAGTCGAGGGGACGTTTCTTTTTATAGCAGTATTCCAGCGAATCTATGAAGAAGGAATAATAGAATTAAAATATCCCAATTTTGCAACCCAATTGATTCATGGATCTAGGCCTTGAACATAAATGGCTCCTAACATCCCAAAGAAAAAGACAACAAGATATTATATACTTCCTGATGGAAAGACACACTGCCATCTATGAATCAGCCTTGCTAAGGAAATTGAACCTGAAAGTGTATAGATCTAACTAATACTTTACAGGAAATACAGAAAAAATTACATACATAACCACACCATATAGATGCAATCAGCAAAAGCTCAGCCTGTGACAAGCAACTGTTTCTCTAACAAATAAACCATAACTGAAAAAAAGAGGAGAGAAGGAGGGAGAGGGATATATAGAAAGAGAACCTATAGATTAGAAAAGACTCAAAAGACACAAACTGTTGCAAGGTATGTCAATATAGATTCAAAATAACATCAAAATATTTTTGTGACATTTATGAGAGTATTGGAAAGTTGAATAGTGATTAAATATTTGGATACATTAAGGAATTATTAATTTGTGCAATGTGATAATGGTATTATGGTTATGCATTAAAAATAATCCTTATCTTTTAAATACATATTGACATATTGATAGATGAAATGATATTATGTGTGGGATATGCTTTAAAACAGTATGGCAGCAGGGAGAGGTTGAGGGTATAGACAAAACAAAATTGTCCATGAGTTGTTGGTGAAGTTGAATGATAGGCACATAAGGGTTCTGCAGGTTTTTTTGTTTGAAATGTTTCATAAGAAAAGCTAAAAAAAAGTCATTAACAAAACTGTGGAAATATTTGCCACAAATAAAACAAAATATTAATGTCTTTGCCATATCAAAGAGAACTCATACAAATGGACTTCAAATAAAAAGTAACAAACCATGTAGAAAAAGTGTAGAATTTTATCACCTTGAATTAAGAACTTCTGTACATCAAAAGATAAAAAGAAAGCATAAAAACAAACCACAAATTGGAAGAAGATATTTGCTATACCATATATATGTACATAATAGATGAGTTTCTAGTATGACTAAAAAATCTTTCAAATCCATAAGAAAAAGAAAAAGAACCCAGTAGGAAAACGGACAAGAGATTTGAAAAGATAATTTCTCAGAAGAGGAAACATGACCCAGAAATCCCATATCTAGGGATATAATCCCTAGAGAATCTCTTGTCCATGATTACCAGGAGATATATATGTACAAGAATGTTCAGTGCAATATTGTTCAAATAACAGATACATCCATCAGCAGAAAAACAGATGTAACAATTGTGGTATATTCACACAATGGGATAGGATCAGTAGCGAAATGAAGTAAAATGTCAGGTAACACATGATGAAACTTTTGAAACATAATGCTGAGTGTAAAAAGCAAGTCACATAAGACTGGATACAATATCATATCAATTACATTAAAATATCTTAATAATGGTATCTCTATATATGTCTATATGTAGTTTAAGGATACTCATCTACTAAATATATTATAAAAATAATGGTTATGATAATCAACAGGTTTGGATAGTAGTTCCCTTTGTTGGGGAAGGAGGTCTGCTTAAGGGAAATTTGGCAAAAAATATAAACTTGACAGTTTAAAGAAACTCAGTGAACACTAAAGGGAGAAAAAAAATCACAAAAACAAAGAAATCCACACTAAGACATATCATAATCAAATTGCTGAAAAATATCCCCCCCCCCAAAATCTTAACCACCAGAGGAAAATGTCACATTATTTATAGAGGATCAACAATTCAAATATTGCAGATATCTCATCAGAACCATAGAGAACATAATGAAGTGGAACAACAGTTTTAAAGTTTTGGAAAAAACGATCTGTCAACTTACAAGTCTATATCAAGTGAAAATAGTATCATTCAGGAATGAAGGTAAAATAAAGACATTCTTAGGTAAGGGAAATTAAAATAATTCACTGCCAGAAAATCTATTCTAAAAGAGATACTAAGGGAAGTTCTATCCCTTGGTGAAGAACTGAAGGAAAATGATACCAGAAGGAAACCTGGGATATCAGGAATTAAAGGGCAACCAAAATGATAACTATCTGAGTAAATATAATAGACTACACTTATTCCATTATCTGAGTGGATGTTTGATGTATGTAGATGTAATACATAAGGCAACTATAACGAAGGGGAGAGGGATAAGGAGACATATATAGTCATAAGGTTTCCACATTCCACTTAAAGAGGTAAAATATTTATTCATAGTTGATTGCAAAAAGCTAAGAAAGTATATTGTTTATCTAGAACAATCACTAAAAAAATCTGTACAAAGAGACAAAGTAAAAACAACGGCCATGGACAACTGGAAACCAAATTTTAAAAATACCATGTACAATAGTAATAAAAAAATGAAGAACTTATGTCTAAATTTAACACAACACATACAAGATCTCTATACTGAAAACTACAAAACATTTATGAAAGAAAGCAAGGACCAGCTAACCAAACAGAAAGAGATGTCATGTTTATGGACTGGAAGACCCTGTATAGTCAAGATTTCTTTTTCTCCTTAAATTAATCTATAGATTGATTTAATGTACTTCATTCAAAAATCCCAGCATACTTTTTGTAGACAAGCTGATTATAAAATTTATACGGAAAAGGCAAATGAATTAAAATAGTCATAAAAATTTTGAAGAAGAAAAATAAAGTTGGTAGAATTATACTACCTGATTTTAAGACAATAAAAAGCTACAATAATCAAGACAGTGCAGTATTGGCAAAGGGATAGACATATAGATAAATCAATGGAACAGAAAATGAAAAGGCAAGTCACAGACCAAGATAAAAGATTTTCAAATCACATATCTGAAAAAGAATTGTATTCGGAATATATAAATAACTCCCGAAACTCAACGGTAAGAAAACATTTTGAGCGTTATAAAAGTTATTTTGCAATTTGTTAGGTTTCATGTAATGTTCATTTAACAGCAATAGACCCTTCATTTAATTTTTCTAAAATGACGATATAATGTTAAGCTCAAAACACTAAATCAGTAACGAGATCAAATTCTGAAAGCAATAGAGGTTGTATCATTTTTGGTAAGCATCACTCTAAATCAGTCATTTGATAACAGAGGATTTATCAGCATTTAAGCAAAAGAGGCCATCCAAACTCAGTCTTTCCCCAAATTACTGTTTAGTATTCCTTATCACAATATTCAATTACCATATCCTCCTTTATTTGCTTTCTGGTCACCAATAGAATAAATTAACTTTATATCTTCAGAAAACTTTTTCTTCTTTGGAGAAGAAGCTAAAAGAAATATAAGAAAACATTTATTTTTAATAATGGTGATGACAGAATTACCCAAGAAAGACTATCTTTTCATGCCCAAGAGGAAGTGAACCATATGCTAATTTATTGTGGGATTGTGGGGAGGTATTGGAGAAGATGGAGAGAGGTGAAATGGGAGGAAAGACAATTACTCTTGAAATATTACCCCTTCAAGTGAAAAGATCTACTTGTAGGGACAGAATTTTCTTCTGGCAGAGAGAAAAGCTACACCCAGCTCAACTGTAACACATCATTTTCTCTCTGTGGGGATGCTACCAACATAGCTACTGGCTGGAGACCCACTCCCCACAGTGACTACTGCAACTGCAATTCTTGGATGTGCCTCACAGCCTGGCATAAGCAAGTATATATATCCCTCCTTTGTGATAGAGTTCCTATTTCTAACCATCTCGGAGGGCGAAGGATCCTCACAGCACATGTGCTCAACGGGTTTTCATTAGAGATGTAAAATGTGAGTGTGATCTGCCTCCCCACTGGAGCAGATTCACCTAATATTCCCTTCATCTCTCATTCTCTCTGTCCCTACGGAGGACGTCTACTTGGTGGAAGATGACAACAATACTGTAGAGGTATAATTCAATTTCATTTATGAAATGGATATTCTTCTGTCACTTTGATAATATAAATTAAATTCCTTTATATCCTACTTCTTCAAAAGAGGGGATCTGAGGTAACAGATGTTTAAACTGTCTACTTGAAAGTCATTTCCTATTCAGTGAGAAAGTTAACAGTTGAAAACGTAGGGATATATATAGTTACTAAAGTGATTTATTTCTGAAGCATGAGATTGCTGTCATTATCTTAATGCGTTGCAGAGATTGAATTAGTCTATTCAGCAAACATATATTTAGAGTGTGTGTGTGTATACACAGACACACCTGCATACATATAGTCCTAGGTGCTCTGTGGAACACAAAGGTGAGAGTTACAATATCATGGGTGATTAAGATAGCAGGAAGTATGTAATAAGTGTATTAAGAATGATACGAAGTACTACAGGGATTCAAGGGAGAGGGATCTTCAAATTAGAGTTATTAAAAAAGACTTTATAGAGTGTCATTTACAGTGGAGCTTAAGGAATTGTAGGCTTTGGATAGATGGACAGTGAGCACATAATTCTAGGCTGAGAAAATTGGATAAAGAGAGGGATAAAAGTACGAAAGGTAACTTGTGTTTTAGGAATGGTCAGTAGTCTCATAATGAAATAAACAGAGTGCTTACTATGAGCTAGAACTTTTGGGCTCTTTATGAGAATTATTTAGGAGTATTATCTTTGTTCTCAAATGATGAAACTGTGGCTTAACTGAGGTTAAGTAATGTATCCAAGTGGTTTATGTGGCTAGAAAAGAGTAAAGCAGGATTTGGACTTCGGCAGTTTTGCTCCAGAGCCTATACACATCACCCCTCGATCATAGCTGCTTTCCTCAAGGAGGTAGTGTGCAATAAAGTCAAAAAGTTAGGTTTGGGTTGGAATCTCTATGGTGAAGAATGGTTTCCTAAGAAGTCTGAGCTTCATGTGTTCATTGCAGCGTTATTCACAATAGCCAAGACTTGGAAGCAACCTAAGTGCCCATCAAGGGACGAATGGATAAAGAAGCTGTGGTATGTATACACAATGGAATACTACTCAGCCATAAGAAACGATGAAATCCAGCCATTTGTGACAACATGGATGGACATTGAGGGTATAAT